TTACAGCAATTAGAACATGGACATTTGATATCCTGACCTTTTTTTGCTGCATCTTGATTTCTGGATAACTTCATGAACTCGAATATACCTGCAGCGTATGCGGACGTTAATAAGTTCGAGCTCTCATCCATCATTGGCTCGTCCATCCAAGATCGAAAATATGAACCCATCGCGAACAATTTTTTTGGTATTTTACAATTGTGTTATGAATTGTGTTATGAACCAAGATCAGAAATGTCGAAGCTTATATAGAACGGATTTCCGTCGGAAATCCGTCGAAAATCCGTTTCAACACTCCGACATAACACCCCACCAATCCCATCGGCCACCGCTAACGAAATGGTAACCACTCAAAATTTGCCGACATCGAATTTCCGACGAAATTCCGACGGAATAAGTTCCATCGGTATGCGCTGACCAATCAAACTTTGCCGACATCGGAAATATCCGATTTCCATCGGAAATCCGTCGGAAATTCGTCATAATATTCCGACAGTTTATATCCGTCGGAAATCCATCGGTACGAGACGACGGATTTCCGACGGAATACCGACGGTTTTATCTACCGTCGGTATTCCGTCGGAATTAAGCGACGGATTTCCGACGGTTTACTCTTGCTCGCAATTGCGTCGGTAAACCGTCGGAAAATTCCGACGGAATTCTTGCCCGTCGGAAATCAGGCTGTTTTCTTGTAGTGTACTTAGTTCATAATTTTGTATGTAATCATAATACTGACATTGCCATGACTCACTAAAACTTTGGCACAACTTCATTAGCTATCTTGTAGTGTACTTAGGTTGCATTCCAGAGAACACATTAAAACAAAACACATAATTACATTTGACACTTTTTGATGATACGAAGCTTTCTGAGTTTTTGTACTGTTGATTTTCTTAAGTTTAAGTAGTTTCATTTCTTCTATTTCGCTTACAAAAATTGTTTCTTTGTGTTAGAATTTGTATATTATATTTAGTTATGAGCTAAAGATGTTTCGTTGAGTTTAGACTTTCATGTTTGAGCTTAGAGAATAATCAGATCTTGGTTTTCTTAACTAGACTATCGATATAATGTACCTAAAATTTGATAAAACATCATACTCTTAGAGAATATTACTTGATAAAACGTCATCTAATTATTCTATTACCTAAAATTTCCCTTTTTACATTCAACATTAATCATCTTCTAAGAGTATGATGTTTATTTGAATCAACATTTGTTAACAGTATATTTTATAACAGTTTTTGCTTCACTCCTACAGAGCCAGGTCTGAGGGGAGTGGTATGAAACATTTGAATGGAGCCCCCATTTCAAAGAACCCCTACTTATTTTTTTAAAAAAAAAA